ATATATATATATATATATAATATATATATATATATATATATATATATATATATATATATTAATCTAAATTTCTTTATATATTTATATATTTATATGTATAATATTTTATATATTCTGTCTTAATTATATGAAGATTATTAGTTTTATATGTCTGCAACTTATTTACGCAGAATTACGATAAATGTTTGCTTCCTCGGATCTTTGATTTCATCACTTGTGCTCAATACTCGGGTTTCATAAAAATCTGCTCTCTTAAATCATTAGTTCCGCAAACTTACGAACCGAAGATCTCTAGAACGATCGACGCGCTTATGTGAAGATTTTCTTGAGTCTCACGATGGATACATTAAATTGCGAAAATAAGTATGGGAGTGAAATTCCCGTCGTGATAATAACAGGGGATTGACCCGATTGCACAAATCAGAAATTTCAATTAAGTTGAGTTGACTCATATAAAAATTACGACTACACGTACAAAGTACGATGGCAAGATAAATCTGTTACCGATTTGAAAAGTTGATTCGGGTGAGAAGAAGTTATTTCGTAATGTTGTGGAGCAACAATCTAATATTCACAAGCGTGAAAAAAAGGAATTAAGAGAAAAAAGCATACAAGAACGATGCACTTAACTTTACTCTTAATGAACATTTGCATATTAATCTATGGAATCCTAAAAATTTCAACTTTTAATATGAGAAAAAAAAAACGAAGTAAAAGTAATCGCTTTACACTTTTTATATGTTTTTATACTCGCTTGTAATTTTCAATTATTATTTATACACAAAATCTAGTTCTACTTGTATTTCTAGAATAAAATTATAAATTGATAAAAATATTAAAATAAGTAGCACACACACAGACAGAGGTCCTAAAAACTTCTTATCTCTTTCTCTCAGTTTGATTTCTTAACCAGACAAAGTTCATTCAGCCTTTTTCAATGAACATTGTTATTAGCAAGAGCTATACTTGTCATGAGAGAATTATGTTTGCAGTCGTTTCTATTCAATGTAATTACTACACGTGCAATAGATAATTGATACCCATGTCAATATCATTAAACTACCGAACAAATAGCTGTTCGTTGTAATTTCATGACGCGTGCGAGTTGCGAAGATTTTATCCGCGCGTCTCATTTTTCCCTTTCCGTTTCCGTAATTTACGACAAACGCAATATCACTAACGTACACTGGGATGATATTTTCGATCCCCATCACGCCGCAAGTTAAATTAACGCGCCGGTACTAATTACTTGCTAATTAGCACCCCCCTCCCCCCCCCCCCACCGCCTGCCTCGCGCACTCTCGGCGCTGCGTGGGGAAGGCGTATACTCTTTCGAAATCCTCACCGACTCCTCGGCGTTTTTTAGAATTAGAATATCATAATTTGTGCCTCGAAGAATCACAACTCGACGTCTGCGTCCCCGCGTCGTGCAATTGTCGTGCGAAATTCGTGTAACTCCGCGCAGGCGGTCCGGCCGTAACGTAGCTGTTTGCGGTCGCGCGATTAAGCAAGTGTAGCATGCACTTGAGATGCTGCGGTTTTCTTCTCGCCGCATCGCCGGCCGCTACGTTGTCGATGTCGGCATTTTAATAACGAGGCGGGCTAGCACTCGTACATTATGGAGATTTCGTAACGAGCGTCTCCCGGGACGGTGCCACGCCATGAAACTGGGGGCTACTCGAGGTTATTACGATTTTCATTTCTGATGCGCGTCGTCTGCTCGGACATTGACCGGGAATCGCAGCGGAAATCGAACGAATATTATTAAATGTTAATATACCCTCGACTCGGGATTCGGGAACTATAGAACTATAGAACATTAACGTCTTTCTTTCTTTAAACTGAAAAACTTGATTGTAATAACAAGCGACTGCATTATTTGTAATAATTTAGATTGCGTATGTCGAAAGAATGCAGAATTAAACTCGTTATGATATAAAGTGAAATTCTCTTTGTATCAAAGTTTCGATACAGTATGCAAATATTTCCACATTTTGTAATGATTACTTGGTAATAACCTTGGTAATAAACTAGCACTAATCGCGCGACAATTTTATTTTAAACGCGCCGTTGAAAGATTGGTTTTAATCTCTAACCGGACGTATGCTCATTTATGCGTTGTATGCGTAAATATAATACAATGAGACTGGTACCGTTCAATGGCGGGCAACCGGCGTATAAACGGCGTATAAACGGGAGGTAGATGAAAATTACGGTGATGCATCTTTCCGAGAGGCGTGCAATATTTCAGCGCGAGCGCGAAATTAGTTCGCGTAGTACGTTGAATTAAATTCGATATCAAGCGGGCAAGCGTGCACGATGCTGATGGCGCGAATGATGCTAATGACGAAACGATTTAAGCGCAGAGGAGACCAGCGATTCGTGGCCGGATCTCGGACTCGCGCAGTGAAAACTGTTACGTCCAATAGGTCTGGGTTACGGGGACATCGATTTTCCTTACACGTCGACGTACATACGCGGCGAACGCTGCCTGCCTTCTTTGAAATCGACCGCGTTGACGTGAAAAATCACCGACGTTCGCGCGTGATCTCTACCGTACAATGTCAGGCAGCCGACGACTCCAAATACGTAACTCCGTATAATGCGCGATAGTCGCGGGAAAATGGATGGATTTTCGTTTCGGCCGCATTCGACGATGGCAAAAATAAAACGCGAGTGGAGCTCCTCGACCATGTTAACTGCCAGATCTTACATCCTTCCCGCGACGTTTTTCCGCGCCGTTTCTCGCGTCTTTTGTTTTCTTTTTCGCGGAATGATTTACCCCACTATACCCCTTTCAGTTTCCTCGCGTCTCGAAAAACAGTAAGCCCGTAATGTTCGGTGAAAAAAAAAAAAGATTTACAGTCGTCTGGCAGAGATTTGGCTGCGGATCTTGCGCCGGAACAATTTGTCTTACACGCAAGCGTCGTTCGCGAATTTTTAAGCAAAAAACGCAAAAAACGTGCCCCCTGGGTACGGCTGGCTGAAAGCGTGAACTTTACTGTTAAATTCCTTGGATGGTGAGGCATGTGCGTTTTTTCAAGTCCGTTCATTGACATTTAATATTCTTTGCGCACGTACAAGCATCATCTCTATCCTCTTTCTCTCTTTACCATCTCCCCCTGCGACCTCCATCTTTTCTCCTTTTTTTGCTAAGCTCTTCACACACGTGTCTTTACTATTATGTAGTGCTGTAGAAAACGCATTTTAAGTACCGTGACTAGCGAAAGGATGTCAATACTATAAGGCGGACATAAAAATGCGGCGTTATGAATGTTGCGATATGATTTTGATGACTCACTTTAGAAAAGTTTTTGCTTCAAAATAAATTCGTTTTCAATTTCTGCTTGGTAACATCTAGACGTTGTTTTTACAATATCTTGTGTTAATAATATATAAATTTGTTAGTTGATATATGTTGATTACGCAAAGATCTTTTTTTTAGCGTTAAATAATATATATATATATAGATCAAAAAATGATTTAGATAAATACTTCTTTGATCATCGATTTGTACGACAAAATTATTTAAGATAAATTTTTTTTATATCACTATTATTTATTTATCAGCATTATTACAAATTTACATCATGTAACTGATCAAATTACTGGTATTATACTATATAAATTCTTATAACAGGTATCTTATGAGAGAAGACATATTGAAAAATATCTTCATTAATTATATATAATAAAGATTATTTTTCTCATTTCAAATCAATTAAATGCAAAGTCGAGAACTTTACAGAGAAAGTTTGCATAGCGTACGTTTCATAATTCTTTATACGCTATAGACTGTGTTGGTCAATGCGAATAAATTGTGAATACGTTTTTCCTTAAATGTAATTTTAATCCACTAGAATTCCATAATAATGAGAATAATAGGATCGCATCAATTTAAAAAATGATTAATAATTATTATATAATAATAATAATCTTGATCAGAAGAGGTTAAAATCTTGCCATTAATTATTGCATCACTGCGTTTACATTTTTATTCGGTATCGGTTTATACGTTAGAGTCCAAGTATGTCGCAAACTTCTTGTTCCTTCGTGCGTTTCGTAACGTCTAATCCGCGAAGATAAATGTCACGAGGTGTGTGCAACGAAAACTCCAATAATCATTTTTTCTTCCGTATCTGTGCGCAAAGTCAGATTGTCCGGAAGACATGCGAAATAACTTTTACTATTGTACGAACGAGCTATACGATTTTATCTTCTTCCCACGATGCGAATGGAAAATAAAATATACTCGCTTTTGAACTTTAGTATTACTTCCGGATTTTTTTCGGAGTTTTCGTAAAAAGATAGAATAGTTAGATATTGGAAATTTATCATCTTCGTATTTTTTGACTGTCGCATTATTTTGTGACCAGTTCTCAGAAAAAAGAAGTTCTTAATTATAACTTAATTATAAATTTGTTTTCTCAAATCAGTTTAATCTTCAATTAATTTTTAATTATTCGACCTTCAATTAAAATGCATTAAAAAGGATAAAAGTGATTCACCGAGGGTGAAGAAGTCGAGGTTTGTTTTTCGATACTTGACTCGCTTGACTGTTTGTTGTCAAAGATACTTAAAGATCGAGAAGAGATGAACCACTACATCTGCATATATCTATATGCGTGCAACAAGTGAGTTCCGCACCATCATCGTACTGTGCGTGTTGCGCTTGTACTGTATGTGTATGTGTATATTCACGCGTGTACTCACTTTCTTCGAGGATGCGGTGACCAAAACGAGCAATCATCATTTCTCACTCTCACTCTCGCACAATGATTCTCACACTCGCTTCTCTTTTCTCCCTCAGCTGCAGTTTGCTTGCGGCTTTGACATCACATACGTTCGAGGAAAGTAACACACGACAAATAAAATAATTTTATTAAAAGACTACTCGTCAGAGATCTCGATCTTTCAAGTACGAGATCTGAGAATAATCTTTACAAGTACAGGAGTATGAGCACTGCTTATGAGAGACACTACTAAAGATATTAATGTTAACAATCAGATATTTGTTGGATAAGAAACACGGAATTACTTGTAAACGTCTCAATTTATTGACATTTATAACGTTGTCTTCTATAAAATTAACGAACCTCGTCGCGAATTTTAATATCTAATAAAGGTGGGAATAAATTAATGATATAAAATAAATAAAATAATTAAAATAATATTCAAAAAAATATAATAAAATAAATATGTCTATTGTATGTGCATAAAGATAAAATAATAAATGAGAAATTTAAATATAAAATATCAAATATAAAATAACAAATTAATATTAATTTTCTTTTCTTGAACATATGTTTATGCATATGATATTTAATATATATATATATATATATATATATATATATATATAATTAAGTTTGTAACTTACCTATAAGTGAAATCCTTTCCGTGGAAAATTATTGCCACTGGGTAGCTGAGGTCGATCTTCCTTCACGATTCGGCCGGAAGATTTGCGTTGTGCGCGCGCTTATGAGAAAGGTGAGAGTGAATAGCTGGGAGCATCTTCATTCAAGCTTTATATAGGTATTGTACCCCCTTACCTAGGCAGACTCTGTAGAAAGAGCGTGCCATCTCTCTCACCGTGTCTGCCGTAATTTTATCATCAGTGAGATGAAAAAAGCACCTGCTGATGAAATTGCATTAGGCAAAAATATTCCATGATTTGAAGTTCCGCCAAATTTTAAGTAGCCGAACTTTTGTAAATTTTTTCGCAAAAACGATTATATTTTCTTATCTATATCACTATTATTACAAAAATAAAATGTAAAAAAATACTTCAGTTTTGTTGTAACAATAAAGAAATTAGTTTTTAACAACTAAATGAGATATTTTAAAGGGGATGAAAAAGTTAAAATATTATGTACAATGTGGCACGAGATGTTACTTGAACTCGCATTTCTTATTTCTTATCGTTTTTTGTAGTACAAATTAAGCGCTTTAAGTAGAATTCAGATATAGCCATTTAATTTAATCTGTTGTCTGAAGACAGAAATATTGAAACTTTGAATTTAAGATAAATGTAATTTGGGGCATCGAGAAAAGATCAAGAATACCCTCTTTCGTATAAAAATAGTACCGTGTATCCTACATCCTTCACAAGAGTTTGATCGAGTGCTCCACGAAATAAAGGCAAATCGATAAACGACTGTTAAATGATTTATCTTCTCGATATTATCGGAGATGCAACGTCGTTTTGTGTTGAGGAACGTGACTTTTCAAGTCACGTTCGGAAATAATGACGATAATATATAAATTTCCATGTTCACATATCGTCCTTACAAGGAGACGATGTCTCTTCCGGATACCAAGTGTAATCCTAATTTGGCGAACCTATATTTTTGCGCGAATGAAATACGATGTTCCTTCTCTTGTTGATAAAGAAATGAATTTTCCGGATGCGACCTAATTCGTTCGTCCTGAATTCATTTATAATTCACATGGCAGAAGAATCGTATAACGATTCTTATGCAATTATGCCTTGAAACTTTTTCTATGGTATTCTATGGTAATCACATAGCAGTTATAGAATTAATGAGGTAATAAAAGGGAATTATATTTCTTCTATCCTCAATACGAAATGTTGTTGTACGATATTTTTTTCTCAAAAACGATTTAGCATTATTTATTAATTAATCTACATTTAATTTACTATTATTATTTTTTGTTATCTTAACATAATATTAAAACATGTTAAAAAGTTGTCGCTTTCAATATTTCTTCCTCTGGCTTTCTCTGGAGATTGAACTATAAAGCATTGTAGAATCATAGATTGAATCTTAGTTGACAGTAACTAATATTACGAGATCGACATCGGTATCATTTGTGAATCAGGTTCGGCCAAATGGGATGATGGAGATTACACCCGTGACAAATTTTGAAGTTTTATTGACCTTTAACCGAGAGAATGGGGACTCTGTAGAAGAGAAAGCTGACGTAGGGACAATACAGACGAAAATATATTTATAGTCATGCCAATTTCGATGTCGGACAAAATATCTTTGCGCGTTGACTGTCGATTAAATTTTGTCGTGCTTATTTTATCGCGCTAAAGCGGAAAAAAGTTCGCCGCTGGCGCGAAAAATTGAAAAATTCAACAGCCGAATATCGCGTCGGTATACGACGTGTTAAATATTCAACGCGTTTCCATGCGATCGTCCGAGCGCGCCCGCGAGGGTGGTGAATGCAACGTGAGTGCATCGATGCACCTGTGCGCTGCAACTGCCCATCATACGTCATTAGGTGTCATTAGCGCTTCGGCGCATTTCGCGGGGGGCATTTTCGCCCCAGATAAATTTCATCGATCGTGTATGTACATACGTGCGCAGCAATTTCATGAAATGCAACAAAGCGCATTGGGACACTGCATATCCCACACTGTCGCAGCTTCTCGATCATGCACTATATGTCGCGTATCGATATGATTTCGCGCGAGAAACGCGCGTGTTATTAAGTCGCGCGCCGTTACGGGTTCGAGGGGAAAAAAAGTTTACGGCGTGGTTAGAATTTTCTCCGTGGCCTGCGGTATGATTAGCGGTTAAGCAACACGCATCACCGCCAGGAACTGGACGTATAAAAGGGAACGTTCCATTCTTATTGGCGCGTCTCGCGAATCGCGGCAGCTGATGCGTTTTCCGGAATTCGCATCCCGAGTCGCAATCCCCCCCTCCGTCACCCTCGCGTTGTTTCAACGGCGCGCTCAATAAATTTAACGAGATAATCTAGGATTACTCACGGTTCATGCTTCGTGAGTTTCACTCTCCTGGCCGCGGTTCCGACGCAGTTCGCGCACAAACGCAAGGCCGCACTCTATTTGAAAATCACACGCAGGGTGTGAAATCATCACGAAATTAAATTGTACGTGTTGCGTTTCCTTGGAATAATAATACTTATAAATATTTTAAGCAATATTTTATTCCCCGCGAGACAGGACTCCCCGCTGATCTGAAAGATACAGAACAGTATCCGTTATCATATAATCGACGCATTACCGGTGCCTATATAATTAGGCCTCATTACCATAACTCTCCCAAGCATCCCCGTTACGTCAAATAATAAAACCATCACGTGCCCTGGCAACAATTACTTCCATACACGCACATCACGCGCAGAACCACGGGGGAAAAAAGTGTAGGCTCGTGCGCTATTACGTGCTTTAAACGTACGATTTAAAGACGGAATGAAGGAAAGAAATATGCATCTTATATACGTTGCGAGATGCGCAGCGAGATAGTGTAGAAAATATATAGAAGAAAGAATTATGTGAGAAAAATGTACATACGTGTTGTTAAATATCCGGAAGTTATAAATATTAACAAATTTAGGAATATATTACATCAACTTTTGTTTTCACGAGTATGTAATTTAGCAATAAAAAGCTAATTTATTATGAATACAAAATTATATATAAAAGAAAAGATATATTTTTT